CCACTTTCCCTGACTCCTTGATGGTATAGAAGGTTTTTCGTTTATTAGACATTCATAAATTTTCTTGGAAACTTTGGTTTGAGACAGAAAGGTATCAACTGGATCCTTTGGAGTTGGGTCATGACAGGCTGTATAGTGTACTTTCTTGTAATGTGCTACAGCAGATATCACTTTGTGATATTCGAGATAATTGGTTTTGATGCTATATTTATCTATGAAGGCGTTATAGCTTAAAAAATTCTGGTCATTATATAAAAGATCTCTAATCTCCTTTATCCCCGCGCTCAACCATGATCTGTAGGAGAATGGACGATTTTCAATTCTAATGTGAGAGTTGTACCAAATACATGAGGAGGCAAAATCGAGGTTATCGTCTTTGTAATTAAATTTTGTCCAGTACTGTATGATTTCTTTTAAGAAAGGGTCCTTGAGGTTGAGCAGTGTAGAATCTTGCTGTTTCAAATTGCTTCGGAACAATAGTTTTCCTCCGTACTTCCCTAAGTAATGGTCAAAAAAAGTTTCCACTTCCCTTTATTTTCTTCATTTAGATACCCTTGGATCCATTTCATTTTCAAGGATTCATTAAAGCTTTGAATATCTAACATCTTAAGTCCTCCTTTCGCGTGCGAGTAGTATAGGAGGGACTGGTTAGGCCTCTTTTTTGGGGGGGAATCTCATTAAGGTGGGGGGAATAAATTAACGTCGCTGACGTCATAGGCTATTGTCTTGATCTCATGAATAAAATACGCAAGAATTTCATTAACTTGCGGTGGAATCTCATTAAGTATATCCAGTTTGACGGGTTTATCAATGACGTCATGTGCTATTTTTATCTTGTGGCGGTCATGGTTGGTATAACCGGTTTGACAGGTTAGTTATTTTTGGAAGATGATGTTTATGTATTCCGGGGTACTATGATGTCATAGTTGTTTTGCTTGGTTGACCGGAATTAGAAAGACGCTCATTGGCTGTCTCGTTTGACGAAGCATTCTGGTTGGTTGCCGTATTTTTATTGTTTGAACGGCATAAAAGCCTGCTCACTGCCAAGCGCATCATTCACACATTGTGAGTAAGTTGAGTGCGAGTAGTCATGGCTTTCAACCAGTTCACCACTTTGGAAGAGTTTGAAAATTTCATCTGGCACAACGAGATACCAAGCGATCAGATTTCTGAAGCGTTGGATCGAATGATGACCTTAACATTTCCAGAAGAGGTACGTTATTAACGTTTGAATGTCATTCAAGGCTAGATTCTTTTAGTAACATGTAGTTCCATTCCAGGATCAGTCTTCCAACATTCCCTTGGTGGATTCCATTATTCCACCCGAAGTGATGGACCCATGGAGCGATTGGGAGAAAGAATTTGAAACGGTATGAGTCCTTATTGAAATGTTATAGCATAACTAGTGTCCGTCGTACTAAATCAATTTCTGTTGTTGAAATTATTATTCCACTACGAGGGGGACATGGGGGTTTACGGTATTGCGGTATTGGGCTTTTTTTCATGCGGTATTTCGGTAATTTTAATTTTAACGTGCGGTATTGCGGTATCATCTAGCTCTGCGGTATGCGGTTTTTCATCATTTTGGCTGACGGTATTCGGTGAAAAAAGATTGTTCACGGTATTACGGTACCGTTTATTTGCGCTTTCCTTTCGATACAATACGCAAAACAAAACACAGTAAGATATAAAGGTCAATAAAAGTTAATATTTAGAAGTCTTGAGACATAACGGTAAATGATTACACCATTTGTGGGTCATTTTGTGACAGTTAATGGTCGATAATATACAATGTGATTGTTGTTGCATCCAATGATAATGAGTCGTCTCAAGTTACCTTACCAGGCTTGTCGATCTGTGTACCTGTGCCGGTAATTCGAGGTCTTAAACGTTTTCTCACAATGTCTGAGGTCGCTGAGGTTGAAGACGGCGTGGTCATCATTGACTGTGTGGCAATTTTGTATGGAGAGGGCGAAGGAGGCGAACATTATTGCAACACGAATAAGTTTAGATATTGGGTTTCGAGAATTGAAAAACGCCTTGTAAAGTTAAAAGCGGAAATTTGGTAAGTTTGCCTCTTAACAGCGCGGCGTCATCCTCGGAGACCAAGGGGCAGATAAAGGGGCGAGGAAAAGTCTAAACGGGCGGAAAAATATATATGGAACGAAGAAAAGTAAAGAACGGCGAGAGAAGAGCCCCTGGGACAATGGGCGCGATCCATTCAACCAAAATTCCAACCGGTCCGACCGGGAAAAGTGGACCACCTCAAAAGGTGGACCCGTTTTTTCGAAACTTTTCCGGTTGGACCGAACCGATCCATTGAGTTTTGGGCCGAAATTTCCGGAGATTTTGGTTGAATGGATCGCGCCCAATGTCTTACCAGACCAGTTCCAAACGGTCGCCGCCGTTCTGGCTTCTGGTTGGTGCCAGAAAACTTTTGTTTTTCTGGCACCAATCAGAACCCAAAACGGCGGCGACCGTTTGGAACTGGTCTGGTAAGACATTGTCCCCAGGGGCTCTTCTCGCCGTTCTTTACTTTTCTTCGTTCCATATATAAATTAGACAATGTCAATCATTGAACATTTTTAAAGTTTTACTAAAGACACATCTTTTTAAATTAGCTTTTTATTAGTTCTTTTATTAACTCATATTTTACTTTTTATTGTTTTCCGAAAATTGTAAATTATTATTTTTATTATCATTATTTGGATTAGCCATTTATTACTTTAGGATTTTAGTGTTGTAATGCGCATTCGATCATATCTTTATCGCATGCTAGACTGCGCAAAATAAGAAATAAACATTATTATCATTTATTATATATTTTTCCGCCCATTTAGATTTTCCCTCGTCCCCACTATTTGCCCTTGGGTCTCCGAGGATGGCGCTGCGTGTGATCTGACCCCTGAGAGACTGACGTGCTAGACTAGACTCACTTTATATCAAAACTCGCACTAGACGTGCGTGGAAAGGGTTTTGGTTGGTTTGTTTTTCGCGCTTTCAAGAGTTATTTTTATTGGAGTTAATTAGCTGTTGGGTCGAAATACCAAAAGGCTGAACGAATGTAGTTTACTTTTCAGTGAAAATTTGCGGAAAATTGCGAACTACCAAAATATTAAAAAAAAACATGGACATCTGGTGCATAAATGCCTGAGATAATTAAACGCGCTAGATGGAAGCAACCATAAGTATGCGCAACCGATTATAAATGTGATTAAAATATACGGTGTCGGTATTTAGACGATTTTCGACGCGGTATTTCGGTATTTGCCATTTTTTCTTACGGTATTGCGGTATTGGGTACCCCCCAATGTCCCCCTCCACTACACTTTTTCAGGAACCTTCTTCCAACCAAGTTCAGAGCGGCATGGGTAGGAAAAGAGCAGCACAGGTAAGTGTTTTAGTAAGTACTTTATTTCTCTAGCTTGTCAAGGTAGTTAATATACGATTCATTTGATGTTTTAGGATGATGTAGACATACCTCCTACCAAAAGTGCTCGACATGAATGTGAAGCGTGTGGAAAAGTTTTCACTCGACCAGATAAATTAAAACGCCACGAAAAAACACATACCAACGAAAAACAACATTAGTGTGATAAGTGCGACAAGAGCTTTCATCGAATGTCACACTTGCAGCGCCACGTGAAACAAGTTCACGAACGCCGAGCGGCTCAGCGGGAGTATGAGTGTAGTACCTGTGGAGAGACATTTTACAATCTGGCTCCATTCCGAGCGCACCAGCAAACAGCTCATACCAAACCCTCTTTAAGTAAGAAACGTCCAAGGGACGAGGAAACAGGTAGGAAGCAGTGAACTTTTCTGTTGTATTTCAGTAAGATAAAATTATATTTTGTGTCAAGGATTAGTCGTAGGTGACTTTTTACTTGCTTCTTGCAACACAATAGAGGCTATGGCATGTTTGAACATGTCTTTTGTTTGAAAGCTGCACCGTATGCAAATTTGAGGTGAAGGCAGTGGAGTGGAACAATTGGATTAGTCGTATGCAAAGTTTAGCCGTGGGATGTTAAAACAATAGAGGCTAGAGTATGTTCGAACAAGTCTTTGGTTTGCCTTTGTACAGAGGCTTAGCACAACACATTTTAGACATGATGGAACAAAACTTTTGTTCAGAGAGTTAATCCTACACAAATGTTAGGTAAAAGCAATGAAGTGGAAAAAAAATATTGGATTAGTCGTATGCTAATTTGAGTATGTTAAACAATACATTGTATAAACAACTCTTTTGTGTTTCTGGATACCTCGTTTGCATTTGGGAATAGACATTGGAATTTTTATTTCCCATTTAGAGCCAAAACCCAAGAAAATGAAGCCCAATCCTATCGAGAAAAAAGCAACTTCAAGTTCCAGCTGGCAGGAAGATCCAAGAACCTTGAATGACTTACCTGAAGTCCAACAAAGTTCTGTTCTCGAGTACCGTCGCCACTGGCATCAAATCCGCACTCGATTCAACCGCCAAAACCGGCTCCTGGACTGGTATAACTATCGTCTGTCTTCCCCGCAACCTCAAGAGGTTATACAGCACCTTGACGAGATCTTTACCGACCAGTCCACCGTGTTTAAACTTAATGTCTCCTTTGGTTTCATTCTGAGAAACAACGAGACCGGTACACTGCAATATTACTACGCCTCCAGGAACAACGATCAAGTATTTGAAGAGCCATTCCAAATCACAACCGCAGCCGATCTTCCACATGTCCGTGAAGCATTGCAGAATCTCGATGTCCTAGAATGGGTACGCCAACGTCGCCCCAACTCTAAGTGGGTGGTACAACAGGTGACCAATATCACCTTCTTTATAACAAAAATCAGAGGTCACCCCATTGGTCGTGGTACAGATTTACCTGCTTACCTTGGCGAGAACCATGGTTTGGTCGCCTTAGATCGAAACCGACAGACCGGAAAAGTCTACAGCGACAATCTTTGCTTCTTCCGTGCCTTGGCTCTCCATAACGGCTGCCACACTAAAAATCTGGAGCGGGATGCCAAGCATTACTATGAAAAAATGTCGAGAATTTTTTCCTGAGAAAAAGAAATTTTGTGGTGTAAAGCTGAAAGAACTGATCGACCTAGAACACCTATATGAAGTCAACATTTTTGTATATTCCCTCGAACCCACTAAACCCGATGGAGAGGAGGGAGAAGAAGACATAGAAAAAGAGGAAGAGGATTTCGCTCCTGAGATCGCTGCGCAGTTGACTCGCCGCTCCCTTTGCCACTACCCAAGTACGCTGTACCTCAACCTGTACCAGAATCACTTTTCCTATATTAAAGATTTAAAGAAGTATGCCAAATCTTACTGCTGCTCGCGATGTGGAAAATTCTGGAAACATGTAGGAAAACTACATCGTCATGAGCGAACCTGCGCGGCCAAAGTCCATTACATGTTTCCTGGTGGTGCATACAAGACGCCACCCACCATCTTTCAGCTGCTCGAAGATGAAGGCTTCACCATTCCACCACATTTAAAGTACTTTCCATACAGAGCCACCTTTGACTTCGAATGCATGTTTAATCGTCAGACTGGCCTAAATAATACCGAAAAACTCACCTGGAACGCCAAGCATATCCCTCTAAGTGTCAGTGTCTGTTCCAACGTTCCAGACTACGACCAACCCAAGTGCTTTATGTCAGATGGGGATTCTAAACAGCTCGTCAAAGAGATGTTAGAACACCTCGTAAAAATCAGTGAACGAAGTTATGACCTGTTAAGAAAAGAGTTTAATTTCCTTTTTGAATCCATTGACCAAAAGCTGCAAGACCTACAGCAAAAATCAGAAGCTGGTGACCCTTCAAACACTAACACAGTAGAAACCCTCACCCAGGAAGATAGCGATGATGAAGGAGAGGATCTCATTGACACAGATGACGAAGAAGAAGAAATCGAGTCTGAAACCGAAGAAGATCGTGCCTTTATTGACGATGACGTAGAAGAACAAGGTGCCTCGTTTTACAGGGCCTTAGATCGCGAACAAGATGATCAGAGTGAAAATGATCACGAGTGTGAATATGACAGACCAGAGGACAACAGCCCAGAACCTAAGAAGAAAAAAGTGCACCCTTTAAAGAAACTGAGAGATCGTTTCCAAGAATATCTGCAAGAACTTCCTGTGCTGGGCTTCAACTCTGGAAAATATGACTTGAATGCCGTCAAAGAATTTCTGTTTCCTGTCCTGGTCCAGAATGAAGGCGTTCAGTTTACTATCAAGCGTAACCACAATTTCATGTGCCTAAAGACCCCACATCTTCGCTTCCTCGACGTCACCAACTTTCTTGCTCCCGGTTTCAGCTACGACAAATTTCTGAAGGCGTACGAGTGTCCTCAAACCAAGGGGTTCTTCCCATACGAATGGCTGGATTCTCTTGACAAGTTAGACCACCCTTCTCTTCCTCCTCACGACGCCTTCTTCTCTACACTGAAAAACGAAAACATTTCTAAAGAAGACTACCAGTACTGCCAACAAGTGTGGTCTGACCATAACATGCACACATTTAAAGATTTTCTCATCTGGTACAACAACCTAGATGTCCAACCCTTTTGTGAGGCCCTGGAAAAAATGTGTGCGTGGACATCGAAAAAATGTGTGCGTGGACATCGTGCGTGAAGATCGACATGTTAAGACAAGGTATTTCTATTCCCGGTGTTACCTTGACGTACCTCTTTACCACCCTGGAATCTGGCATCTTCTTCTCTCTGTTTGACGAAAAAAACAAAGATCTGTACTATCTCTTTAAGAAAAATATAGTGGGTGGCCCTAGTATAATATTTCATCGATATCACGAGGCGGGAAAAACCAAAATCAGAGAGAGAGAGATAACAGATCAAGGCAAAGAACCAAAAATGTGCCAGAAAATAGTAGGATACGACGCCAACGCGCTCTATCTCTGGGCCATCATGCAAAACATGCCCACCGGATCTTTTACGAGACGACGCGAAGAAACCAACTTCAAAAAAGAAAGCTCCACCAAGATGGCCACCGAGTGGTTAGAGTGGAAGGCACATGAAGGAGGAATTTTTATACGCCACCAAATGAACAATACAGAAAAACGCATAGGTGAAAGAAGGCTCCCAGTGGATGGTTTTCATGGTCCTTCACAAACAGTTTTCCAGTTCCATGGCTGTTGGTGGCATGGGCATAACTGCTACCTAACTAAAGGAAAAGAAATGAACGAAAAAAGAAAGAAACCAATGGCTGAGCTCAGGGAAGAAACTACAGCTAATTCAAAGTATATCAGAGATCAAGGCTACAATCTCGTGGAGATGTGGGAGTGCCAGTGGCGCCGAATGAAAAAAACTAACTCTGCAGTACAATATTTCATGAACAGAAAGTTTCACCGACCCCTTGACCACCACCAGACCCTGGATCAAAATCAGATCATAAAAGCTATCAGAGACGAGTCTCTCTTTGGTGTTGTCGAGTGTGACATCACAGTACCTGACCATCTGAAACCCAAGTTCTCCGAAATGTGTCCAATCTTCAAAAATACGCAGATTTCTAGAGAAGATATTGGTGAATACATGCAAACCTTTGCCGAGGAGCAACGTATCATGCCTCAACCTCGTAGAAGTCTCATAGGTAGCTATTTTGGAGAAAAGATCTTGTTAGCCACACCGCTCATTAAATGGTACTTGGAGCACGGGTTAGAAGTCACCAGGATTTACCAAGTGGTCGAGTACACACCCGTTCCTTGTTTCCAGCCCTTTGGAGAAGCTGTCTCCGACGCCAGGCGTGCTGGGGATGTGGACCCGAACAAGGCTATTATCGCAGATACAATGAAATTAGTAAGTATGATTTCATTTGTATAAGCATTTTGCCACCTTTTTCCTTATGCAAACCTTATTAATGTTCTGATACATTATTTATTAGGTCGGGAATTCCAGTTACGGGAAGACGATCACGGACCAAGAACGCCACAGAGAGGTTAAGTTCTGCGAAGAAACAAAGGCCTCACGGCTTATCAACACACCCTTCTTCAGACAGATTGACCAGATCGAAGAGAACACTTATGAAGTCCAGTCTTGCAAGAAAACGGTCAAGTTGAATCTACCCATGCAAATCGGTTTTTTTGTTTACCAATACGCTAAACTCAGAATGCTCCAGTTCTATTTTGATTTCATGGATAAATATCTTGATCGTAGTGATTTTCAGTATTGTGAAATGGATACAGACTCTGCCTATATCGCGATCGCGGGGCAGTCGGTAGAAAGTTTAGTAAAACCAGGTTTAAGAGAGGAATTTGAAGCAGACAAGGCCAATTGGTTTCCACGAACCGACACTCCAGAACACAAAGCTTATGACAAAAGAACACCAGGTTTATTTAAAGAAGAGTGGTCAGGGGCAGGAATAATTGGTCTCAGTAGCAAGACCTACTATTGCTTTGGGGACTATGATAAGTTCAGTTGTAAAGGGCTTAACAAGAAAACAAACGACATTAACAAAGAAAAATATCTTAATGTTCTACTGACCAAACAAAGCAGTTCAGGATTAAATAAAGGTTTCCGCGTAGTCAACAATAGCATGTACACTTATGAACAAGTTCGAGATGGGTTTTCCTACTTTTACCCCAAAAGAAAAGTGTTGGAGGATGGAGTTACCACTGTGCCTCTAGATATATAAAATTGTGTTTCAAAAATTGTAACGTGTGTGATTCATAAATAAAACACTTTATAAAAAACGCGTTTCTTGTAATTCTCTGACTGAAGGCGCCAGTGCGTTTCCCACGCACAACTTCCCCACGCGAGATCTCCACGCGCGCCCAGGGGAAAAGTACAGGGCTAAAAAGGTGCCCTTTATGCCCTTGGTGCCCGTTGTGCCCTCGAAAATAAACGATAAATTCGTGTCGCAAATAGATTTGTTCAGTTTAAAGTCTGCTTTCGTACCGTTAACATGAAAAAACTAAAATGCAAGCATTGTCCTCTTCCCGGCTGTGGGTCAAAATTTTTAGTTCGATTAGCAAACCATTTGGCTCAGGTACACGAGCTGTCTGACTTAGAGAGAAAATATTGGCTCCAGTTTGCTAAATTACAAAATAACACCATGGTTCGTGTATATGATAAAGATACTCCACCAAAGACCATTTCTCTATAAATAAGAGCAAACGCAGTTGAACCAGTCAGTTGTCAACATGGACCCAAGGTGGAAACACCCCTTTCCTGCTGTTGTAGCTGGCCCCACTTGTTGTGGAAAAAGTCAGTTTGTCAAACACCTGTTAGAATCTGGAGAAGAATTAATAGACGGAGCTCCTGAAAATATCATTTGGTGTTATGGGATATATCAACCGGCTTACGATGAGATGCTAAGGACTATTCCCAAAATCACGTTCGTCGAAGGAGTTCCTGGTGATTTAGAATCCATGATAAACCCAACCATTCGGAATTTAGTGGTCATTGACGATTTAATGCAGGAGCTTAGCAATGATCAAAGAATTACCAATTTGTTTACTAAGGGCTGTCATCACCGAAATTTAAGCGTTATTTTCATTCTTCAAAATATTTTTCACCGGGGAAAAGAACTGAGAGACATGAGCTTGAATTCGCATTACCTAGTGGTGTTCAAAAGCCCGCGTGATAGTAGTCAAGTCAATCATTTAGCAAGACAAATGTTTCCCGGTCATGTCAAATACATGCAAGAAGCGTTTGAGGATGCAACGAAAAGGCCCTATGGTTATTTATTCTGCGATCTTAAACCGCAAACACCCACCGACTTCCGGCTGCGTACGAATATTTTCCCCGGGGAGACTCAGTACGCTTACGTCAGAAAAGTATAAAAAGCGTGAACCACATCACATTTCTTCAGTTGAGGATGGCACAGCGACTGAGAAAGAACCACGGTTTTCTGAAGCTGCTTGTCAAGTGTACCCCAGCTCAGCGTAAAGCCATTTTGAAGGTGGCAGACGACGCTTTAGTAAGAACCATTTGTGAGTGTGTTTTAAACGTGCTTAAAGGAACAGTACCAGTCAGTAAGCCAGCCAAGAAAAAGCTTTTGCCTCACAAGAAATCTTTGATCGCTTTAGCCAAAAAAAGTACACCACTCGATAAGAAAAAGAAATTGTTGGTACAACACGGAGGAAATTTTTTAAGTGTTTTGCTACCTCTCGTTCTCCGTGTGTTAAGTTCGATTCTTAACTAAAATGAATCACACAAAGCGTATGGCTCTCGTGCCCGAGAACACCTTGGAAAGATTACAACAACGCCAGCAGATACTAACCCCACCCGTCACACAAACTCTGAGAAACTTGGAAAGTGAAATGACCGATATTTTATCCAGTAAAGAACTTGATGATGAACAAAAAGCCAGGCTTTACAATCAAGTGTTGCAGCGGTACTTGACTTATTACGATCAGCGAAAAGGTCAACCTCTTCATGTGAAAATATCAACCCCCAAAGCAGTAGAAACACCTAAACCAGAAGAAAATGAACAACCTTCGGAAGAACCTGTCCCGGAAAAATTCACTTCATCAGCCGTAGAGGCAGAGGTCATGAAAAGTGTGCCCAAAATTTACAAAGCCGGGGCTAGACAATTGTTGGATAAAATTAAAGAGCATCAAGATGTCTTACATTGGAATGATAAAGGAGAGCTTTTGTATGAAACCAAACCCATTCCAGGTTCTCATCTGGTGGACCTAGTCAACGACACATTGCGCCACCGCAAAGGATTTGAACCAGTGGGATGGTCGGTGTTTGCGAGGGGTCTGGCCCGAATGAATGTCCCGGAAAATCAAGTGCGTAATCCACAGAGGCAAAGTGCTGTTCGAGAATTTAAAGCAAGGGTGAGAGACGAAACCCCTAACAGTCCTTCCCGTTGGCTACCTAGCCCACCTGTGACGGTATCCCCCGTGAAAAAACAGCGGCGAAGAAATGCGAGTCCGCGCCCTGAGGCTGTGCGCTGGTTACGGTTATAAAATCACCACAAGAGACATTATTATTATTATTTTTATTGTAAATCATCTCTTTATTTTGTTCACTCAATAAAAGATGTTGAAAAAAATTACAAGGTGTTTATTTATTGAACTTTGTGCTGGGCTTGTGCTCTTTGCTTGCTTACATCAGTGCGATATTTCGGAAGACTTATAGGGAAATGTTTTTCAATAAATCGCTTGACAAGACTGTCATTTTTACGTGTGTTATTAGAAAAACGATGCACAATTGTACTCATACTTATTTGCCGACTACGATATAAAGCAAAATACAAACAGTAATGTCCGCAGACTTTTGAATAGATGCTTTGTAATGTCACAGTATTAAAAGTCCACTGGTTAGAATTGTTGTTTAAAAAGGTAGTAAATGTTCCTGAGTATTTGCTGGGTGGTGATCCGTAAGAATCGAAAAATTCTCCCTCTTGCTCCTTGGTGAAATAAAACGCCACCCAATGCGAACCTGGCTTGTCACTCGTGTCCACATTGGTGATAAACAGGGCTGGGTAATGTGAAACACTTGCAGGAAGCAGGTCTGAGGGATACACGCCTTGAAACACACCTCGTGTAAATTTATCCTTTCTCAAAATAAGGGTCAGTTGAGTAGTGTCCATTTTTAGTTTGTGTAGTCGAACAACACGTTGCGGTTCCCGTCAATTTCAATCACGTTTTGGAATTCAGCGTACACGATAAGGTTAACCGTATTGGCCAGTGGTTCCTTGAAATGAAGCTCAGCGCGCAGGTTACCTTGCTTTATTAGCTCAAAATGGTCACCTGAGCAGTGGTCTGGGGACAAGTCAAAGCAGAATGCTGTGTAACCGGAGCCATAATCGCTTCTACTGATCTGATTACCCGCATCTTGGGATAGCTTTCCAGAACCTGAGAACAGACTTTGATAGCCCGCTATTACATTTTGACCTCCAGCTTCGTCAAAATTCAAGAACAGGGGTTTCCGAGGAATTTGCTCTCCGTCCACATAGACACCCACTTGAGTTAGATTGTGGTGTTTGAAGTTGAACGGGTTGGTACTGTAAGTTCCATTATATGCCTGAGTATCCACTAAGACCAGCACGATTCGTTTGGGGATATGACCCAAAAAGATGTTGTCGGGGTTAAAACTGCTAAATCCTCTTGGAATAGACAGCACTTTACAATCTATTCGGCGAACCGGGTACTTGGCGCTGGAGTGTCTTAGTGCAGCAGCATGGCCAAGTATAATAGAAGAGGCCAATTTCGCCTTGCGAACGAACAAGATGGCTTCTGTGATTACCACCTTGAAAGTTGGAGCGGCTGCTGATGACATCAGACAAAACGAGTTCTTGGCTCGGTTCAGTTTGATTCTTAAATTCACTCCATTTAGCATCAACCGGTCTTGAAAGAAAATGTCGCTATGAATGGGCCCCATCATATCTACAATATGACTTTCTTTAGTGAAATCATAGCGAACCTTTAACCCCTTGTTTGCGGCATCGTCTGCAGCCACAGGGTTGGCAACATCCATTTTCCAGGGGTATCTTTGTAAAACATGGCCATAGAAAGTTGACTTGTCTTTGCTTCTTCTCCGTAGTTTAGCAAGGTTTCGATCATGGCGCGATAAGGGTAGGTATTGGTGGATGGAGAGATCAATCGCTCGTTCAAGGAAACGTCCACTTGCGAAAAAAGGGAATGTAAAGACAGGTTCACGGGACGTACTTGTGTATCGGCATCTATGGCGACTCCATTTGCTTTTGTGATCTTGGCTTTCACAAATAACTGAGTACGTGCCAAGTCCAAATACTCATCTCCGGTTCCCGAAACATAAAATTCGATCGGACCACTGTCCGTGATGTTACTGATGGGGTGGTACTCGATCCATTGCCCTTTGGTGATAGAGGTTTGTGTTGCAGGAATCGTAAAGAGATCCAAAGCTGATTTCGTACATTCCTGAGACTCGTGATGCACAAAGGCCATAGTTACTTCCAGAAAGAAAATTCCTCCTCGGGCTTCTTTTGCTGCGGAGATGTTTTTGCCTTCTTGGCTGGAGGCGAAGTGATCTTGGTTCCTTTCGCTTTTCTTTTTATAGATTTTTTGCCAGCTCCTGATTGTCCCTGCAATGAATTCTGGGAAGGTAAACCGAGGGCTTGTTTCGTGCGCTTGTGGACTGCTGTTTTAATGTTATCTCCGTCAAGAACATCTTGGACAACATTGACTCCTGTTTGTAAAGCCTTTTTTCCAATCACCTTAGCACCCTGTTGAAGGTGAGGCATCGCCCAGCGAAACAGGCCTCTGAATATGGACCCTAGTCCATAACCCCGCTGAAATCGAGCACCGTGAAACGCTGGTAAACTCCCACCTTTTTGTTTGGCTTGATTAACATAGTACTGTTCGTACAACTTGTGATTTGGAGTGTGGAGTTTTTTCATCTTTAAAAGTACTGAGGTGCACTTTGACGAAAATGAAGTGTTAACAACACTCTCCCAAACTCAAATGGTACAGACTCCCCTGTGTCTGTCTTTATATTGACTTCGACAGTTTCAAATTGCTTTCTGCTGACAGGTAAATATTGGGGGCGCAAAAATGATTTACTGACTCGCTCCCCAACCTTTCCTTCTACAGGAACAATTGTAGGTGAACAGTCACCTTTCTAGTGAAGGTATCGTAGGAAAATGTTACATCGTTATTGAAACGCTTTACATTCTCGATCAGCCCTTTCATCTTTGATAAG